GTAAATATATACACTTCTTCATATTTACTATGTTATTGGGTTGTGTTTGTACTTTATTGTCGTTGTAGTTTACAATATTTATTTCATTTATCACAGGTAAAAACAACTTGTAAGTGCTAAATGAATTACAGTGCTATATGTCTATGTGGCGTATATGATACATTATTATTACAAGTCAAATTACATAGATACATAGCTTTAAAAAGAAGAAAAAACACCCATGGGTTTTATTTGGGGCATTATAGTCATGTTAGCCTGCATGCAATCATACTATTTACGTGCAAGTGTAATGAAAAACATTGTGTTCCACCGGCGGTACGGGAATTACGGACTCGACTCCGAAAACCCTCAGTCTTCGACTTCGGGCTTCTAATAGAGTCTCGTTCTTAATTCCTTATTTACCGCCCTTAATACACAATGCACTATTGCTACAGAGGACGTTTTAAAGAGAAAGAGGTTCTTATAGGATGATTCACACTAGACTGAGGCCGGTGAGAGCTCTGTCCGAGTCATCCAAGTCTCGGACGTGCTGCATATTCATATTCACAATTGACCGTGTCCGAGGCATACGAGCGTCGTCGTAAGATCTTAAATTAGACAGAGTCAGAGAGTGTTTACATTACAACGAGCCGAAGCCGACCGGGCCGCATCCGAGGCTCGGACGAGCTCGGAAGCAGCTCGGGCGTCACTCGTCCGTAACAGGGACGCGACACGTTGTAATGTGAATCACTTCATATAAATTGTAGGCTGCATTTCCAATCCGAGCCTCGTACGTGACTCGGCTCGCGTCTGGGACGGTATAATGTGAATAGTCCTTTATTAAGCATTTAAAATCAATCTTAAAAATATGTTCAATAAAATAACAAGCGACGATAGGAACTAATGTCTTTTACTATTGCGTGATTTTTAGCATTCTAAAGCAATTTTGCAAATTCCAAAATATGGACTTAAGGTCCTTTACCTCTCACCTACAAATATTAAAACGTCGGAGGTCTGTCGTCGCGAGAATCGTAACGTATAAACGTAACTGGGGACATGACCGAGACCTCACTGGTTGAGGATAATAATAATGTTACGAGCCTCCGAGACTCGACCACTTCCCATGGATGAGACGTTTATACATTACGATTCTTGCAAGACAGGCTTCGGTCGTTTTAATTATATATTTTTTTATGCAATTTAAGTAGTTATATTGTCTTAGAGATCTGGTATTAGGACGTTAATCGTGTCGATAGATATGTCAACTCAATATCCGCGCGGAAAAGGATATCGTTACTTATTTAATTCGAGGTCGACTAGTACAACTGAGGCTTTCGTAATTTGATTCGTACATTACTACTACTAATGTTAATATACCAACCGGCTATAGTAGCGGTATAGAGCTCCTTGTGAAAGGGTTCGTCCAGGGAAGTACTGCCACCTTTACCCATTTCTGCCGCCCTACAGTAATGTGAGCATTACTTCGTTACGGTTTTGACGGGTAAGGGTGCTGGTGAAATTACACGCACTTGGGATTAAGTCAACGTGTTAGTAATATTAAAACACTAACTCTACAGCAAAAATAAAAAGATGGATTTATTTTCGACCTCAAAACTTCGTGGAATTACATCTATTTGCTAAGTTTTGAAATCGGTTACCCGAAAGTGCGCGACACCGGATGCATCCCCTAGTTTGCCACTCTCAGAGGCGGAATATTTTCTTTAAATTTAAATGGAATTACTACTGTGGAACCCTCTTTCCAACAAAAAATGAAAATCCTTTTTTTGAAGTCAGTTAAACATGTATGACTTAAACGATGGATATAAATTAACCTGTATTTTATTTATATTTAAGTTTTCCCTCTAACACATTTGATTTACATTTAATAGATTATTTACTTTTTTGCGTGTCAGTAAATTTAGGAAAAATACAGTTTAGGTATCTATATACTATATAAATAGAACGTTTACTATATTTATTCTTTATTGCACCAAAAAAAAAACAAAAGTAATTTCAAAATATCGAGATTGCACGTTTATTCGGGGGAACGTCGGTATAGCCATAATTGTAGCTGCTAGAGTAGTGACCGGCGAGATTATGCACAGACTCAAGGACCGCCAGATTGAACGCGTCTTTCAAATTGTTTCGTCAGGTCCATTGACTTACAATTATATGGACGTCGGGTCCGCGCTAAAAAGTGTCCGAACTTATAGGGCGTTAAAATCGTATACAGAGCGTCATTCACGCTTTAGTCTTCGTTTGTTCGACTGACAGCGAAGCAAGCAAAATTAGACAGTACTGCGATGACATTACAATTTAAATCTAACGTTTTAGCTTTTTCATATTCCTTTACACGTCACTACGTTTAAATAGGTTGACTTGGGACATTTTTTTCGTGGTTTTTGTATTAGACCAGGCCAGGTTTTGGTTTTTGTATTGTATCAGGCCAGGTCTCTTGATTTTGCAGCTTATTTATGACGACAACGCTAAGGCATGTTGACAAATGATCCAACCTTAATATACCTACTATTAGAACTTCAGAGAAAAGTCGACAAAATAATCGTTATTTTAATCTTAGGAAATTGTGGATTTATTAATCGATATTGATAATGGCATAAATATGAAACATATACGATAAAAATTTGCCATATAAAGTATGTAAACGATATATTATGATGCGCACTCATATAACGATAACAATGTTTATTACACGATGAATGATGTTTTAATAAAAATGTTTTGTCAATGGTAAAAAGTGAAAGTAAAAAACCCGTCAAAAAAAAAATTAAAGCATGTTAATTAATCTCTTTCAGGTTGTTCAATAACAATTCTAAATCATAAATCTGATATCAGTAGATCTCCTTGTGAAAGAGTTCGTCTAGGGAAGTACTGCCTCTATTTCTGCCGCCAAACACTAATGTCAGCATTACTGTGTCCGGAACACAAGGGCAAGGGTGCTGGTGAAATTACAGGCACATTAGATTTGTCAATTTGAACTACTAGGTCCAAAGTCCAAGATTTATTAATCTACTATTGACTGTACTATGAAACCATAAAAGCGGTTACACACTGCGACATTTACCAGTGATGCAGCAGCTCGTCGTCTACCTTTAGGCCTTACTCAGAGTGTCGGCGGGCAGTGATGCAATAGCCTATAAATCGCATGTGTAGCGCTGCGATCGCGCGTTTCACGCTTTGCATCGCTGTGTGTAACTCTAAAACTGTCAGTAATTTTGATTTACATGTCCATGGTTATACTTTTTAAGAGAGACATCCGGCGGTACATAAACTGGTTTTCAAGACATAATATTAACTTTTTTTAGATATTTATGCCTACTACGTTTTTTATTAGGTTATTTTAAACGTCATGCCTCTAGGAGGGCACATATTTAGATACATATAAAATATATTTGTAACAAATAACTGTACAATATACAACGGTATCGAAACTAGAGGAAGTAGAGAAACTACGTCTTCATGACATTTTATGATTTGGTTGCACCATAAATAATGGCGACTTTTTTTATTATTAGAACTCTGGAGATTATTTTAGTGTACAGTCCATGTAGGAGTAAGACGAACACCGGGGGAAGAGGGACTTGAAGCCTTCACTCATAATAATAATAACGCACACTCAACATAGCTCCGCACGAGGGAAATCCTGTGTCGCGGGTGCCATGGACAGGCATAAAGACTACCATAAATTACACCCAAACTCACGAGAGACGAGAGATAAATGTAGGCCTTGGCTTACAAATATTTCTCCCAGCACCGGGAATCGAACCTGGGACCTCTGCGTGGCAGTCGTAAATGGTAACCCTTCGGCCACAGAGGCTGTTAAATATTTCTAAAGAGAGCACTATAGTCTCTCAGTCGTAATAAGAGACAAACAAATTAGTTTTAAAGAGACGATTTTAAAGAGATGTCGCTACGAATGCTCCAAATCCAAGAGAGATTGGTTTAGAACCAGCGCCTTCAATATACCGTGTTCTCCTAACTGAGCTACGGAACGAACCAGCAGACCTTACGAATTTTTCTATTTTGCAGATCTTTGTCTTTGGTTTTTGACGACTTTTTTGCCGTAGAATCTGTGAGAAATCTATGAAAATTTTTCTTCCCTCAGCCTTTACAACTACTACGTTCGCTTTTATTTTTGTTTTTAATGAGTTTATTGAGTTTACTACCATGATATTCAATTATTTTTTTGCGAAATTCCCCCACTAGTTTGTTATAGTTATTAATACAAAGCGCCTTTAGTATATCGCATAAAGCATATTATACTTTTTTAAATTTACCGCGTCCACTTTTTACTCAGCTGATTGTAGATGAATTTAATGGTTGCATTAAACTGATTGAATCTTCATAAAATCACACCCATAAAAACGTAGGAATGTTAAGGAGAATTCTAGGTATAAGATTTTATGTACATCGGATGACATTACGTAATGTACAATATAAATTTTTCCTTTTCACAGCAAATTATCTTTTATAAGTTAAAATTTAAGATAAACCTATCGGTTCGTCCACATACATACAAGATTATATCAGAAGTTGACATTATCGTTCTTTTTATCATCACAACTTAGAAACTTTCAGATGTTGCCTTTGACTACTTCACAGAAATGTGTCAAGATTGTTTTCAAGTGTGTAGTAATTTCAAATTTTTACAAAAGAAAAACATGTTCTAATTAATTTTTTTGATTTTTCCGATGTTTCTAAGCCACGTAAATAGTGATAATTACCAAGTGAAAAATCCTGAAGGTTTTAAAATCTAGTGCATAGAAACTTTATAAATCTTGTTGATAACGTTTTAGTGTTATTTAAAAAAACCTTGTTTTCATTCGCTTGTCGTAAACAATGAACAATTTCGAAAAGGCAATCACTTTCGTCCAAAACACTTTCAACTTTATGAGATTGCTGTTTTATTCATCGTATAGACCATTGGCAATAAAACTATCAGCTTAAAAGATAACAAACAATTAAGAAACTTTTATGTAATGTAATTTAAAGTGATTTTTTTTGCATTAAAATGCTCGGTACAAGTTTTTCTTCGCCTGTAGGCACAGCCATAGGCGTTTCTTTGTTGGGACCACTTTACATAGCCGGCAGCGTAGCCGTTTCTACAAGTTCGAATTTGTGCCACAATGGACAGAAAATGCGTATTCCTACAATACATATGCAGGTAAATATTTAATTGTACTAATTGATCAAGATTGTACTTGGTTTTAGTTTCGAAGAATGGAGGAGATTGTCGATAAAAAGCTTTTTTACCGGATGTAATTTTCATATTATTAATAAATATGATTAGTTTTTGTTTATTAATTATCAATATCATTGTTCAATAATCACAGATTTATATACTTTGCTAGAACACCTAAAACTGTCATTGCTAGTCAATCAGAGATATATACAAACAATTTACTACAAGAAATATTTTCGCCATGGAATTTAAAAAGTCTTCAAAACTTAAATGCGCTGAGTTCGTATCATCAGCACTATTGTTGCAAAGTTGAAACAATAAAAAAATCATTTTACAATACAGAGGCTACATAAAAAACGAGAAATAAATTTGCTATAAATCCTTCCGTACAAATATCTAAATGTATTACCGAACGGTATTAGTCTTCTGAACAGAATACCGATCAGTGTAGTAAGAGAGCGGTTTGGTATGAAAGATGATGAAGTGACCATGTTAGAAAAGGGAGATGCTTCGATGGTTTTTTTATGTATATTATACGTTCAAGGTGTTTGAAAGTAAAAACAAACACAAATTTATTTCTGTACTTTTAAATATGGAACCTATTCCTGTACTTATAAGTTCGTCCGTTCGCTTGGTATTATAAAAGGGCATACTGATGGGAGTGGAGGAGGCGAAGGAGGTTTGTCGTGGGAGATACGCGTGATGATATGTATGTACAAATATATATACATAGAAACTTCAGCGCATTGGCGTCGGTACATATACATATATGTGTTATTAAGTAGGCAGTAAACAAGCATACGGACGGCCTGATGGAAAGCGATCACCGTCGCCTATGAAGTCCTGAAACACCAGGGCCGTTACAAGCGCGTTGCCAACCCTTATTTACTTACCCTACAACCCTTACATCCCTTACAACCTTACTTACAACCCTTACTTACCCTACATTATTTAATAAAATACCAGATGCAGTTAAAGAACTAAATTGTAGGCAATTTAAAATAAAATTACATAACTTGTTAGTTACACAATGCGACTACAATATAAATGATTTTTTAAATGATAACATAAAATGTAAAATTTAACCACTGTGCGTGATTGAAATAAGAATTGTGTAAAATATTCGCATGCCAAGTTTTGGTGAAATGTACGATCTAATAATAATATACTATAACACCATTGTAAACTACATTTTTCAGCGAATAAATATCTTGTATTCTTGTATTCCTTTAGGGCTCTTTTCAAACCCCTTTTGAAGGACACCATTGTCTCCAAAGAGTTTTGGGAAACTTTACCGACAACCAGGTTTCGATAAATAACAATCTTGCTTTAAATTTCGTATTTACATATGTGAGAGAGAACAGTTAAAGAAATACGACCGGTTTATTATCTTTGCACAGAGTCGCGTCGCTATTATAATGTTTTGGTACGTCGTTTCCAAAACAACTCTTTTGTTATTCAAACAGACAGCGTTCCATTTTTAGATTTCTAAAAATGAGAAACATGACATATGGGATACAATACGTACACTTCAAGAACATTTGACATAGGGGTAGATACATACCGCAGTCATCCACGTCACTTTTATAATATCAAGTGATGGGACGAACAAGTCGTGCGCCTGATGGGAAGCTACACGCATGTCCATAACAGTTGCAGTGCCACTCAAAGCTTTCAATCGCCATGATCTGAACCCGTCACCCTGAGAATAAGTTGACAAGTGCCATGTGCCTGTAATTTCACTACAAAAACCCGCCATTAAAAAAAAATATGGTAAAATTTTGCACAAACTGCAGAATTGTGAAAAATAAAAAAGTAAAACAAAACTGCTCTACGACCTCAGCCGCCGATCGATATTCGGACGATGTTCCTACTATTTTAACAGCGCTGCTATTTTCTACTGTGTGGTGCTGCTATGATGTGCGTGTGCAACCCCTTATTCTGCTATACTGCTAGTACTTTAAATGTACGTCCTAAATTCTATTTTGGCTCTACAATCTACTTAATATTTTATAAAGCAAAACTTTTCAGGGTGTTGAAAACAAAATTCAGGGTGTTGAAAACAAAAAATATAGCTAAATATCGTGAAAAGTCACGCAGGAGCATTATCATATTTCGATAAAGTATATAGACGTGAATGTTATTCTTTGAAGATTAACGATATAAAATGTTGATTACGTTATTGGGGGCATTGCTATTGTTCCATGATAATATAAATGCCCTTTGTAATAAAGTGATAATTATCGTAACAAGATATTTTTACGGACTACGTAAACACATTTTATGTGAATGGAACTTGCCATTTAGTATTCATTGCATAATCTTCATGTTACTGAAAACGAGGCAGTATGTTAGTAACCAAAGCTTTTACAAATTGGGCAAACAGAAAAATCATATCGATTTCAGTTTTTTCTATTGTTATTAATAGGAAATGAAATATTTTTGCTATTTTTTTTCTATTAATATTAGACATAGCTGGTTGATGACTTTACCATCTCAGTGTGTCGTGACCTGTAACGTTGGTTTGTTTGAAAAAAAAAACATTATACGCGATATAGATCCGAAATGATTGCGAAATTCTTACACGCCGCACAGTGTAAGAATTTCGCAATCTAGCGGGATTTAATACTTAGTACTATTACAAAGTAAAGATTACTGTTATTTTATTTATTTACGATGAATTATACAAATAATTATTGTAATAAAAGATATTTTAGTTATTTGCCAGGTATTTATGCCAAATACATATAAAAACAAAAAAGAAATAAAATCATTAATCATTTTTCGACTCCAATCTAGATAAATAAAAAAAAATAAAACAGTATAGATAAGAATGTCGGTTCCATTGCGATACGTGTTTTCTTGGTTGGGTAGGTACAGTCATATACACAAGATACCTGAGGGCACATAAACACGCGGCATGGTTTCGCGATGCAACGTCGTATCGTGGAAATCTACGACGACCAAAGTAAAAATTCACGCCACGTGTTCTATTTAGTTCAGCTCAGCAGATATACAAAAAAATCATTGTTATATGTAAAGTATTGAATATACCAATACCCTTAGAATAATAACGCATAGAATGATAGTTTCATATCAAACGAACTGTCACAAGTGAGGCAAAAATCAAATTCATGTAGGCTAGTTTTAGTAGTAGGTTAATTTTCGGTTTTAGTGAATATTTATATAAAAATACAAGTTGAAACGCGTTACTTCCTTGTGGAATGTGATGTTAGTATCTATTTTATGTTTGTCTGACGTATTTTTACACTAATTTGCCGCACATTTCGTCATTTTTAGCTAAAATTCTGGAGCTGTTCGCGGTGCAAGTTGACCTTGAGCACTGACGGCCCGCCCGCTCGTGTAGGCCCTTTGGGAGCGTTTCAATTTGCCTCACTTAGCGTGTGCAGGCTAGGATTCTATGCGTTATTATTCTAAGCCTATGCCTATTGAAAAATTTCGAGGTAACTTTGTTTTTTTTCTATCGGGAATTTTTTTGTATGTATATTCATGATTTGTGAACGAATTTTGATGATTCTTTTTTTGTTGGAAATAGGGTACCACATTAGTAGTAAATCTGGAAAATACTAGTACATAATAAGGCCGTCCGCGAAAGAGTTCGTCCAGGGCATTACTGCCACCATACCTATTTCCGCCAATCAGTAATGTCAGCATTACTGTGTTCCGGTTTTGAAGGGTAAGGGTAACTTATGTCTCAGGGTGACGGGCGCATTGATAGTGCTCCTCAGATCTTTGCACTTTTAAGCTCTGATAGGCGTGTAGCTTCGTATCAGGCGCACGACTTGTTCGTCACGTCATTTGATGATAAAAAAAAGCATTTAATAACATATTGACGAGTAGCGGTACATTTTATTATAAAAATATTTAGGTTATCTATCCATCCTCTCTCCCATGACTTGAGAAGTCGATACAACCTCAAGTGACTGGTTGATTCAGCATAACAGTGAGTGTTGAATCAATCACATGGGAAAAATAAGCTATAAATATATACCTTATAAACTTAATTTATAAATTTAACAACATTGCTTACTGGGAATAAATATCGACATCAATTTAAATTGGAAGGATCGTGTAAATAAAGTTGTTGGTAAATTGTCAAGTTTCACATATGCTCTGAGCTTAAGACAGCAACTAGCGCTTACTACGCTTATGCTCATGCCTGGCTTAGCTATGGTGTTGCGTTGTGGGACAACAGCACTGACGCAAAAAAAGTTTTTGCGTTACAGAAGAAATGTATTTGCATACTCGCCAATATAGACTCGTTTACCAATCGTATTTCATTAAATATAATATCTTCACTTTAACATGTATATATATTTTATAAATGTGTCTTATTGTCAACAATAACTTGGATGCATATCCTCTGTATTGTGGTTCAAAAAAATTGGGTCTTAACCAAAATGCAGGCTAGCAACAACAGTTTCAAAACTGCAAATGGTCAACTTGGGTCCGTATTCTATGTCAATTAAAATTTATAACGCACTCCCTGACTTTTTAAAATTGATAAATGGCCTAGAAATGTTTAAAAACCAACTTATTAAACATCTGTCCCAAAAATGCTACTACTCATTGCAGGAGTTTTTTAGTGACGAAGAAAAATTGTTCATAATGTTATAAAAAAAATGTAATGTTAATATGTTATCTGTATTACAAAAATATGATATTATGATTATATAAGTAATTGAATAAAATAAACGTAGAATAATAATATCACGGAGTAAATAAACGCAACTATTACGAAGATTTAATTGACAAATGTAATTATTATTATACAATAAGTAACAAATGTTTAATTGATTAATTATTAATAGATAAATTGATTTATTTTTAAAATACTTTAAATTTAAATATAACAATCATTTTAAAATTATGTCAATTGACTTTCTGAATATATTTGCTTAGATTTATTTATTTTCATTGTAATACTCGTAATACTCGTATTATGATTAATAATTATGTTA